TAAATAAACAGTACGAAAACTCCCGCTTACGCTTCATGTGCGGGGCTCATAATAATTTCCTTATAACTTTTGTTATAAGAGGTGTAAGTGACTCTTACAATAGGATTTATTTACTTAATCCCCTGCCTTGGCGACAGGGGATATAAAACTACTCTCTGTCCACCTGTCAGTTCACCATATGAGATGATTTAAATAATGAAGGACTGTAATGAACTCAAAAAAAGTAACGGTCACTACTGAATGGAGACGGGGGGACATCAACGGTTGGCGTTGAGTTCTATCTTGTTACTTGTACTTTTCATGTATTTGATGTTTTAATTTTTTTGTTTGCTTTTGTGAAACACTGTGATATCTTTGAAAGGTGCTGTATAAATAAACTTATATACTCACAGTCAGGGATGAAAGGTGATGGGTGATGTGCATTCCTTCAAGGAATGCTAGGCCTTGAATTGATTGTGTTTTTGTATCTCTGACRWCCAGTAAAACTAATTCTGTCCACTTCAATCATTTAGTTCAGATTTCAGTTTGAACCTTCAGCTCACAGCTTTTATTCCTTATTCAGGTTGGAGAACTGCAGTTTGTCAAAGATGAGCTGTTCTTCTCTGGGCTCAGCTCTGAAGTCCAACCCCTCCCATCTGACACAACTGGACCTGAGTGACAACTACTTGTCTGACTCTGGAGTGAAACTTCTGTGTTCTGGACTGGAGAGTCCAAACTGTAGACTGGAGGTTCTGAGGTCAGTTCACTGCAGCTGTTGGAGGTTTTCTATGTTTGTCCAACTAAAATCATTCACTGATCCTTTAGAATTAATTGATTTATAAAGGTTTCGTTCATTTCAAAAGTTCAACTTGAACACGTCTGTTTTGAATTTTCTCTTTCCAAACATCTAAAAATCTTTTTAGAACTAAAACATGTTTGCTGCTTGTTTTAAACTTTAAATAAATTTTAAACATCAGTTTTCACCTTCAGCTCTGTGCATTTTGATAATTTAATTTTCTCATTGGCACAGATCATTAAAAATTCATCAAACTAGGATAAGAGATTAAGCTGGGATTTTGGTGTAATCCTGGATTAATTAATCCTTGATTCTGTTGCATAAAAGAGGAGGCACATTTAATTTGTTTCCATTGTAACGATTCCTCTGAAACTTACCTGAGGCTCATTTCACAAAAGTCAGGTTTCTAAATTCAGGATATGAGCCAGAAAAATGCAGAGAATTATGTACCGACATTTGTTTTTCTAAACAAACTACGGCATGCTTTGAATCAATAAAGCTGCTGTATTGATTCAAAGCACGTCATAGTTTGTTTTTTGTTTTTACCGTTTTTTTTTTTACCAATGATTGCGTGTACCTACTAATATAAGCTACAGTCTGACTTTAGAAATGCTACATATTTTACATTCCTGTTAAAATAATTAAAAAATACCGCTATAAACAGTAAACTAGTAACCTAGCGTTCATTTTAGGGAAGAACCAGGAAATGTCCGGCTTCAGTGATGTGTGTACGTGCGCGTGCCTCTCTGTCCCGTCCGCTGCGGTTTGGCTCTGTTCTGCTGCTGCTTCTCATATCGCCTCGTTCTCTTCGGTTAAAATGATTTTCTTGCATTTGTAGGTCTTTCTTCTAGTTATTGTTGTGAGAAAATCACTTATTCTCCTACTTCGATCTAGCGCTACATTGAAATATGTTGAAAAAAAAAAGACGGGAGTTGCACGCCGCAGCAGTCTCGTGAGCTGCCGTAATGCGGACCAGGGCGTCATCACGCAGCTACAGGGCGCCGTAAATCGGTCCTGACGCCCTGCTAGCTAAACCTATGTCTGTAAGTGTAAAACACTTTGGGGTCCAGAGAGACTTGATAAAGCGCTATATAAGCAAAGTCCATTTATCATTTACCATATCTTAGGAAACTAATGAATGGGGGAAGAAGGGAGCGGGAGATCGACAGGCAGATTGGCGCAGCATCGGCTGTAAAGCGGGCGCTGTACCGG